TTGTAATGGTCAGGCTAATATTGTAACATCCTTTTCACTGAGCACACGGAATCCCAAGCATCAGGGGAAAAAAAAACTGCATTGTTAAGTACATGTGAGATCTCGGAGCAAACTGGAGCAACTTAGAAACATAGCAAATAACAGCCGGAATAGGCCATTCATCCCTTCAAGTCTGCTCTGTCATTCAATATGAACATGGCTGATCATCCAACTCAGTACTACACTTTCTCCCCATAGCCTTTGATCCCTTTAGCCCCAAAAACTACATCGGATCCCTGCACATATTAGCTAAAATTCAGCCTTCAAAAGGCCACGATGGCCAAGTGGGACAGCATTGGTCTCAAACCAGAAATCGTGGGTTCGATCCCCACCCGTGCCTCGCAGAGCACTGGTTACTACTTGCCGTTCTCGGTTGTATAGCGGTTAGCATTCTTGCCTGTCATGCGAGAGATCGGGGTTCAATTTCCCACTGGGGAGTCTCTAAACATTTTAGAAGTTCACTTCTACTGATTTATAGTGGCGACAGTACTTCTCACTGTTTGCCTACGGCTATACTAGTCTGAAAACGCCTGATCTCATCTCGTCTCAGAAGCTAAACAGATAGGCCTGGTTAGTACTTGGATGGGAGACTGCCTGGGATTACCAGGTGCAGTAGGCTTTATGGGCGGCACGGTACCGTAGTGGTTAGCACTGTTGCCTCACAGCGCCAGGGACTCAGGTTCAATTCCACCCTTGGGTGACTGCGTGGAGTTTGCACATTCTCCTTGTGTCTGCGCGGATTTCCTCCGGGTGCTCCGGTTTCCTCCCACAGTCCAAAGATGTGCAGGCTAGGTGAATTGGCCGTGCTAAATTGCCCGTATTGTAGATTATGGGGGATGGACCTGGGTGGGATGCTCTGAGGGTCGGTGTGGACTTGTTGGGCCGAAGGGCCTGCTTCCACACTGTCGGGATTCTATGAAGAACAACCACGTTGCAGGAAAGGTATTCAGAATGGTAAAATTCAAAAAATTGAAGAGCACTTTAATTTTCCACTTGGTTCTTTTAATTTACCTTTATTTCCTCTTACATGGATGATTGCAGATACTTTCTTTTTAAATTTCTAGGGGAACTGCACATCTTCTACTTTGGAAACATTTGATGACCCTTCCCTACATTTTCATTATTATTTCACCTCTAAATTCTATCACAGATCGCTGTTTGATTGCATTTCCCCACTGTCGTATGGATTTTTCATTGATAGCAATGCATTACTTCTTCCCAGCTCTCCCAGGGTAATGATTAATGTTGCGCACACCACACAAAAAATCCTCTAAATAAATATAAGCGCAGTAATCAATTGATTGCAATCTGCCTATCTAATACAACAAAATTAGCTGACCTATGTATTCAAGACACCACTATAATATTGTTAAAATCCAGAAAATTCTAGCTCTGTCCCCCTACAGAGGAAATATCTTAAAATTCTCTGTGCTTCTCAACTCCAGCCTGAAATTGAAATTCAATATTCAATTTGAATATTCAAATCTGCATCATTCCCTACAAAAAGAAGTTGGGGAACTTGAGCTGAGTTCATAGTTTTACAACCACTGAGAAGGTTTGAACTGGCTTCCAGGTTTACAACTGTCTTGGTTTTTCAGACAAAGGTTAAGTTTAATATGAGACTATCCCTAACTCTGATTAAAATGTAGTTGATATCTTTACAGCATACAATAAGGAGCCAATCTTGCGGTTTTCTTCAGGAGCAGTTATATTGCTCTTGTTATATACCTGCTAATCCTGAGGAAAAATTAAAGACACAATACAAAGCAAATGGCTTTCATGCAGTCATTTCTGCTTTCACAACGGACACCAATACAAAGTAAAATGGGGTTAGTGCCCAATAAAAGGAATATGACAATGTTATATACAGATATAAACAGTTGTAAACAATTCAGAGTTCTTGAGCAATGTTTTTTAACCTGAGGCCATGGTTGGTTGATTTCTAGGAGATTGTCATTAGTAGCTAGTATTACAGTTATCATTTAAGTTCTTGGTTTTCTGATGCTTGTAAGAGAGATCAAGAAAACTGTGAATCAAATAGCAGACAAGGAACTTCTGATGCTTCCCATTGGGCTTAAATGACATTTAAATGTTCTTAAGGAAAATTTTAATCTCACTTGAGACTGTCTTTAGTCTAATTTGTATGTCATGATCCATTTTAAAAATCACCAGTTTGTGGTATTGTAGTAAATTAAATTAATAGCCTATATTTTACACTATCATTATGATACGCAATTGATCATTGTAGTCATGGACTAATAACCTTAAATGCAGCTTCTTATCAGTCATGTCTTAGTTGTAATAATGTAATGTTCCTAATTGAATGTGCGGAACACTACAAGGAATCTGTGTTATTTAGCAGCTTGTAAGTCAAAGTGTTGATCTTTTTTACTTGTGGTTTCAGAAGGATGGTTATAAGCAAGAATGATATGGAGGTGCCAGTGTTGGACTGGGGTGGGCGAGGTCAGAAATCACATGACACCCAGGTTATAGTCCAGTTTTTTTTGTAGTCACAAGCTTTTAGAACTTGTCAGACCGTCTGACACTTTGGATCACCTGCAGAGACATATTATTCAGCCTATCGACACTCCACTCACACCATTTGTATAACCTTTTGATCTTGCTGCCTATGAATTCAGTGCCTGTGTGCAATCCTTCACCTCACCTGATAAAGGTGCAGTGTTTTGAAAGCTTGTGCTCCCAAATAAACCTGGTGGACAATAACCTGGTGTCGTGTGACTTCTGACCTATAAGGAAGAATGAAAAGTAAGTTACATCATTTTGCTACTAAATATAAAGGAGCAAAGAAGAAACAGAGATAACAAGGTGTAGAGCTGGCTGAACACAGCAGGCCAAGCAGCATCAGAAAATGAAGAAGGGTCTAGGCCCGAAACGTCAGCCTTCCTGCTCCTCTGATGCTGCTTGGCCTGCTGTGTTCATCCAGCTCTACACCTTGTTATCTCATTCTCCAGCATCTGCAGTTCCTACTATCTCAAGAAGAAACAAATGAAGCATTTAAGACGACAAGGTGCAGGGCTGGATGAACACAGCAGGCCAAGCAGCATCATAGGAGCAGAAAGGCTGACGTTTTGGGCCTAGACCCTTCATCAGAAAAGTCTCGGATTCTCCAGCATCTGCAGTTCCTACTATCTCTAACTGAAGCGTTTAGATACCCTAGAAGTTAAAATTAAAGAAAAATTATGAAAAAAAGATATTTTACAACCAGCAACTTGTAAGAGTTAAATTACGGAAAATTCTGCTGAAAATCTGAAACACGAAAAGAAAATATTGGGGAAACTCAGCAAGAATGGCAGCATGTGTGGAGATTGAAAGTGTTAACTGTTTGAGTCCAAAGATTTTTCTTCAAGCAGGTTCATAATGGGCTCAACATCAGTTGTGTAACAGTTAACACTTCATTGATTTGGAGAACAATAGAGAAGTAGAAAACACGTCTTTTAAAATAAAAAAAAAGTTTCACCCGATTAAATTGGGCAAAAAGCACAAATTTTGTGCATACTCTTGTTTTGCAACAACTATCGTGGAAAAGTCATTTCTTAATAAACTAAGAAAATTATAGGGGAAAACTTTAGTCCCCCTGTCAGCGAGTTTGAGACTGTCGCCCATAAAATGCAGCTTGTGGATTTCCTTCTGCCTACTCAGCCTGACTTGTCTCCTATTTTGCACATGGGGTGGTGAAGGTATAAATGGCCAGTCAACCCTTGGGCCCCTTGAGGCCCTTATGTAGCCATTTAGTTGCCACCTAAGTTCCTAATTTAACCCCGGCTGCAGTTTTACCTGTGGCGTGGCGACGCTCATGCCAGGTATGTAGCCACCAATTTTTATTCGGTGAGCCAGGGTATGACAGCGGCAGGAACATAACCCCTATCCACCTGGCCTCTGAAATCCAAGTGACCACCCCTCCCTACTGGGGCCCAACAGCTAGTTCCTGTTAGAGACCCTGAACTTGTCTTCTGACTAGCCTTCATGACCTCTTGTTCAGTTTATTGCTGTGGTCACACTAGTGACCATTGTTTGAACCTGCTGTAGTGGGGATATACAGTTAGTAGCCAATCAAAGTGACTGGCAGCTCTTTAAGTTGAAACCTTTTCCCCACACAGGATGAAAATCTCATCCATAGCCAGTTGACACTCCATCAAATGTTAAATAGCTGCAAAGTTTTTGTGGGGATACATTCCCTACTGACTCATCCGGTCTCTGGGTTTCTAGCCCTGAAAGGTCCTGCCCATGAGTCCTGATCTGTGCCTGAAATGAAGGAGAATGAGATTTGCAGTGCCAAGGAAATCTCTTATTCTGGTCTGTTCTGACTTAAACAACTTTCCAATAACATTATTTTTGTACAAAGGTAACTTCATTGGGCTCAACAGTTTTGGGGACATTTGAAGCCCTACCAGTACTTTGCCAGGTGGTGGGACACTGGGATGACACTTTTCCATCCCTACGGAGGTTGCTGTTCAATTGAGTATGGCAACCCACACCTAAAGCTGCTGAACCTCAGTGCAAGGCACTCTCGAAGACTAGTTTTGTCTTTATGGGGCAGGTGGCTGGGGTGGGGCGAGGGTTGTCAGTTTTCAGCATGACCATTCTCAGCTTGGGGGTTGATGGACCCCACATGGACACACAGACCTTAATTGTACCTTTTAGTCACTCAACTGCTGATCATGCTGCTACCAATATGCCAGAGCAATGGGAAGAAATTGGTCTTCTGTAATTGTGTCAGCCTTTCTGCCTCCCAATCTATCCTCAGTGGGCCAAGAAACTAAGTTGAATGTCTAAATACTTTAAATGAGTGCAATTCATGCCATGATTACTGGCCCAAAAAAGGGGCAAAAGTGCGCAGTGCATGGCTGAATAGTAAGCAGACTTAGATCAACAGATCTTTTCGGTGAACTTCTGAATTTCAATATTAATTGTTACTCCAAATATCTTTTTGGTTTTGGCAGTTTCAAAGGCTTGCTTTTGGACTTGGAAGATGGAAACTTACTGAAGCTGGGTGAAGATGGGACAGTTCTGAGGTGAGCATTTAAGTTTTTAGATTTGTAATACTGTGTAGGCCTCTAATTAGTGAGAGAGATCAAGGAACACATCACTACAGAAATCACAGATATGCAAAGCTATCGAATAGTTATTGTGGCAACATAAGTTACCTAAATATTGGTAGAGGTAAGGTTGGAGTTAAATGAAAGGAGGGAGAGGAATTTCTGACATCTGTTTAGCAGAAGTCCTTGTATAGCATGTTACTGTACCATGTGTTGGTGGCTTGAGTTGGTTGAGCACATTGTGGGGAGCATTTGGCGAACAGTGATCATCATTTCATGAAACTGAGATGAGTAATGCAGAAGGTCAAGTAATAGTTTGATATAGAACTTTGAAATTGGGAAAGGGATAACTTCATTGAGCAATTGAGGTAAGAATCTGTCTGAATTTTCCTTTTTTGCCAAGTGGTGTGTGTATGGGATGTTGCTATTTTGGAACAGTAGTGATGAGTTGGTAATTACTATATCTAATATTCTTTTAAGTTTCCAATAGAATTAAGTTATTCTAAATTCCTCTTTCTTTGGTTATATTTTAACTACAGTATTTAAATATATTAAGCAAAACACAATGGCGAGTAGTTTGACCAATCACATTGCATCTGGAACAGCAACTTCACGTTTACCTTTTAAAAATAAGAAAATGTTAGGGTCTTGGTCCCTTCTTAAAATACTTTGAGCGGGTCTGGCCTGGTCCACAACAGGATGTACTTGCAGCACATGGACTGAAGCTGTTCGAGAAGGCAGCTCACCTCCATCCTTTCAAGGACAACTAGGAACAGGCAATAAATGCTGGCCCAGCCAACATAGCCTACAATTCAATTAATGAATCAAGAATTAAAAGATAGCATCATGGTCACCATTACTGAGACCATCACTGATTACTTTAAAACTCTATCTGGTTGGGCAGAGAATCTGTTGGTGTTACCTGACTTGGACTATATATAAACTCAGAGCCACAGCAATGTGATGGATTCTGAAATGACTTCTTAAAAATGACCAAGTAAGCCACTCATTGAAGGGAGATTTGATTGATGTATGCCAAATTATAATGGGTTTAGATAAGGTAGATGAAGAAAAGTTATTCCCAGTAGCTGATGGTACAAGACCTATGGGAACACAGATTTAATGTTTTGGGCAAGGGAATTGAGGAGAAGCAAAAGAAGAAATTTGCTGTGCATTGAGTGGTAATCATGTGGAATGTGTGGCCCATGAGGGTGTTGGAAGCAGACCGAAATGTATGAACTTCTGAAATATGAGTGGGGGCATGTAGTTTGAAGGTGTAAGACACAGCTACCTCAGAAGTGTTCTAAGTGGTGACTTCTGAAGTGGCAGCTGTGGTTTCTGCTCCAGCTCGATGCCTCCTTGAAAAAAGAGCAGTCAGAATGTGAGCCATGTTGCCTGTCAACAACCCTCCCTCAACCCCAAACTCCCATCCCATTGCCATGCCTTTGGTCCTGAGGACCAATGGTTGAGGTATGGAGTATAGGTGTTAACATCACTCCAGCAGATCCTGAGGATACTGGACCTTGCTGTCCATGGCAGCTGCCAGCCTGTCCGAGACAGCCAGAAGATTGCATCAGTCACTACATTGCAGCAGCTTCTGGGCAATGAGGGTCATTCATCCCATGTACTTGTCTGCTGGTCCTTTTCATTCCTGTGAGTGTGGACAAAGTTTCTGGTTGCCAACACCACATAGTTTTCTCCTACTTGGTGCTGAGCAGGTTCTTGCCCTCTGGCAGTCCTCCTTGGCCAGCTTGTGGTCCCACACTTTCCAAGTCTAAAGTACCCACTGAGGAGTCCGTATCTCAGCCATTTGGGGATACAGGAGGGTTCCTTGTTGATGCTTCCTCTGAGGCCTCAGTATTTTCATCCTCTGCTCAAGGAAGTTGTTTCTGGGAGAGCTGGCCATGGGCTGATGGGCCGAAGAGTGGCAGATGGAATTTAATTTAGATAAATGTGAGGTGTTGCATCTTGGTTAGGCAAATCAGGCTAGGACTTGTACACTTGATGGTAGGGCCCTGGGAGTATTGCTGAGCACAGAAAACTTGGGGACAGGTTCATAGAGTCATAAATGTGGATCACAGGTAGACAGGGTAGTGAAGAAGGCTTTGGTATGCTTGCCTTTATTGGTCATTGCATTGAATATAGGAGTTGGGATGTCATGTTCTGGCTGCACAAGACATTGGTTAGGTCGCTTTTGGGACACTGTGTTTAATTCTAGTCTCCCTGCTATAGGAAATATGTTAAACTTGAAAGGGTTTAGAAAAAATTTACAAGAATGTTTCTAGGGTTGGACGTTTTGAGCTATAGGGAGAGGCTGTTTTCCCTGGAGTATCAGAGGCTAAGGAGTGAATTTATAGAAGTTTATAAAATCATGAGAATGGATAGTGTGAATAGCCAAGGTCTTTTTCCCAGGGTAGGGAAGTCCAAAACTAGAGAGCATAGGTTTAAGGTGAGAGGGGAAAAATTTAAAAGGGACCTAAGGGGTAGCTTTTTCATGCAGAGGGTGGTGCTTGTCTAGAATGAGCTGCCAGGTGAAATCGTGGAGTCTGGTATAATAACAGCATTTAAAAGATATCTGGATGAGTATATGAATAGGAAGGGTTTAGAGGGAAATGGACCAAATGCTGGCAAATGGGACCATCTTTATTTGGGAGATCTGGTCAGCATGGATGAGTTGGACCCAAGGGTCTGTTTTCGTGCTGCATGACTGTGACTAAGTGGAGATGTTTGCTAATGATTGCAGAATGCTCAGCACCATTTGCATCTCCTCAGATCTGAAGCAGCCCATGTATAAGTACAGCAAGACCTAGACAAGTGATACTCTTGTTACATAAATGCCAGGCAATGACCATCTCCAACAAGAGACAATCTAACCATGCCCCTTGATATTATCAGTAGCATCGTCACTGAATTCCCCACTATCAATATTTTGGCAGTTACCACTGGCCAGAAACTGAACTGGACTAGCTGTATAAATTTGGTGGCTACAAAACCAGGTCAGAGGCTAGGAAACGTGCAGCAAGTAACTTGCCTGTTGACACCTCAAAGCCTGTACTATAAGGTACAAGTCAGGAGTGTGATGGAATACTGCCCACTTGCCTGGATGAGTGCAGCTCCAACAACACTGAAGAAGCTTGACACCATCCAGGACAGAACAGCCCATTTGATTGGCATCACATCCACAATCATTGACTCCCTTCACGCGATGCTCAGTAGCAGCTGTATGTACCATCTACAGATGCACTGAAGAAATTCACCAAGGCTTCTTAGACAGCACCTTCCAAACACATAACAGCTACCATCTAGAAGTACAAGGGCAGTAGATACATGGGATCACCACCACTGCAAGATTCTCCAAACCACTCACTAATCAGATGTGGAAATATACCACTGTTCCTTCAACGTCGCTGGATCAAAATCGCGGAACTTCTGCCTAACAACGTTGTGGGTCTACGTGCAGCAAATAGACAGCAGCAGCTCCTGAAGGTAACTCGTCATCACCACCTTAAGGGCAACTAGAGATGTGCAATACGTGTTGGCCCAGCCAGCAGCACCATATCCCACGAATGAAGAATAAAGGAACGTGATAGACTGAGCATGCACCCTATTTTACGTGTCTCCATGCTGGAAGCCTGTCAGCTGCATGTAATATGAAGTTCATTATTTCAATTTGACTTGCAAATCATGATGTGAATGCCAGCAAATTGTATTTGTTTAATTAAGAGTTCCTTTGGTCCTAATTGAAAAGTACATTGGTGGTTTTTGGAGTTAATAATTTATTCTAGTGATGAAATGTCAAGTTAGAGCTGAATTATGTTCATTACTTGAGCAGGTACATTTTTTAGGTGGTGCTAAGTTAGAAATAAGGCTTACCATGGAATGTTTGTTTAATAAATTGAATACAAATAAATAATTTTCTTCAGGCCATTTCTGCCACAATTGTAAAGTAGGAAACTTTGAAATGTTTGCATCATTAATGTATTGAATTTGATAAATAAATGATATACAACCAGTTTTGTATTGGTGTATGGATTATAGTATTAAAAAATTCGATGAACAGGCAATCACAATTTGTAGCAAACTGTTTTTAGCTAAGTATAATTCAATGAATCACCAACATTTGATATTTCAATTAGGGCTAGTCATGGCACTAGACTTTTGACAGGAGAAGAGATATTGGAAACCTATGGAAAGAAGAGAAAGTGGAAACACTTCAAAACTATCAATGGAACATTTGCACGTTCAGGTATGGAGTAAGAAATGGATAAAAACATCAATGTGTATGACTGAATTGCATTTTTGGGATATTAATATGTGCAAGTCCTTTTGATGCTGAAATGCTGTCTTTACATTTAGTTATTATTTGGAGGAAAATGCATTTGCTGCAAGAGCATGCAATTCTGAAAGTGTTCAAAATGTTGAATTTATTCATTGAATTGTAAAATTTAATTAGCAATAGTGCTATACCATTGTTGTTGAAGTTGTGATTCTAATTAAGAAAATTCTAATGCTAGTAATTGCCTTTTGTTGTATCAATATAATGCATAGTCTTCGAAATTTTAACTGACCTTTTTCTCCTTTGTCAGGCAAATATCATTTCTATGATAATTATTTTGACCTGCCAGGAGCTTTGCTGTGTGCTCGGGTAGTGGATATTTTAGATCAGGTGAGTCAAAAATGCTTTTTCACATAGAAAAGTCCCTAGGATAGTGGGGTTTCTTAAGAGAAGAGATTGGGGCAAATGGATCTGTATTCTCTAGAGTTTCAAAGAATGACAGGTAATCTCAATAGATTTATAAGATTCTTGTAGTACATAACAAGATGGACAGAGGTGTTTCCTGGGAACTCTAGAACCAGGATACATAATCTTCAGCATAGGTATCAGGCCATTGAAGAATGAGATTAGGAAGAATTTCTTCACACGGGGTAAGTCAATTGTTGGAATTCTCAGTCATTGACAACATTCAAGTTGTGAACACACACAGCAACAGGTTTTTATAGATTAGCTCTATTATCCCTTAATGTCATTAATATGGAAAAATGGAATTGAGATGATCAGTCATGATTTGGATTGGCAGTACAGACTTAATGGGCTGAATGTCCTACTATTTCTGTGTTCCTAATTAGTGGAATTACAGCCCAGAAACGGTTATTTATCAGATTTGTATTTATTTTGGTTGATAAGTCTAAGTGGAATTACTTATTTCAACTTGAGTCTCCATTATCCCTGCATGTAATTTTGTTTCAGAAAGAGCAACAAGTTTTATTTTGAATAGAAAGGGCTTTATTTGTTCTGTTTTGTTGCAGCAATATTTCAGTTAGCTATGAAAGTAATTCTGAGAACGAAATGATTGGAATTTGTTTTTTTTCCCCTTGTTATCGGGAATCACTCACTAACAAGTATAATTGTCCATCCAGGAAATTCACACAGTTTATGTGCTGTGGGTCTTTGGCTGGTGAGCTCGAACCTGGATCCACATCTCTGACCCACATTTGACAGGTGTTTCTGGGGTGTGGTGAAATTGATCCTTGGCCTTAAAATTGCTGATGTTCTGTTCTCCAGTTCCTTTTCTGTACTTCCTCTTGCTGACCAATGTTCTCAAAGCCTCATATTACTCCACACAGTAGCTTCCTCCATATTGATTTCCTATGAACAAAGGTCTCCCACGCATTAACGCATTTCTTGATGGAAGCCTTCAGGGAGTACTTGAAACACTTAACTTGTTCTCCTCTCATTTGAGTGCCTTCCTTGAGCTGGGTGAAGATGGTTTTCTTTGGCACTTAGAACTCCACCATGCTAAGCACGTGGCTGGCCCAATGGATGACCATAGCCTTGATGCTGGTGCTATTAGCTGCTTCAGGATCGCTGATGCTAGAGCACTTGTCCTCTCAGCTGATGCAGGAAATCCATCTCAAGCAGTGTTGATGGTACTTGTGAAAGGCCTTGAGGTAACATATATATGCAGTCCATATTTCAGAGTAGTATGGTAAAATTGGAAGGATGACTGCCCTTACACAAGGATCTTGGTATCAGCATGATGTCAACATTGTTGAAGACTGTCATCTTTGGTGTTTGAAAGTGGTTTCCGCATATTTGATTCAATGTTGAACCTCTGCATTATGTCAGTCACAAATGAGAGGTAGCTTCCCAGGTAGGAGAAAAGTTCCACATTTGGGAGGATTTCTCCATTGATGTTAATGGACAGATGAATTGGAATTTGATCGAGTCAGGGAGATTAGGGTTTTAAGTCTTATTAAAGTTGAGGCCTAGACCAATTCTTGGTATGCTTCCATGAAGGCATTAGGCAAGGCTTGAAAATCATCATCCGAGAGCACGGCAATGACGTTGTTATCCACATACTGAAGATCCACAAACAAGGTCGGTGTTAGTTTCTTCTTGGATTTCAACTGGTTGTGGTTGAAAGGTTTTCCGTCCATCCTGTACACGATGTCCACACCACGAGGAAGAACGGTGGTAATGAAGATGGAGAAAAGATGGGGGATGATGACCAGTCCCTACCTGACCATGTGTTGGCCTCAAAGATTTCTGTCATATTCCCATCAGTGAGGACCTTTGCTGCCATCTTGTCGAGGAGGAGACAGGATGTTGTTGAATTTCTGTGATGGCTGGCCTTTGACAGAGTCTTCCACAGCACTTCCCAATTACCTTGAGTCAAAATCCTTGATCAGATCAAGGAAGGCCACGTTGAGTAATTGGTGTCATTCCTGGTATTTTTGTTGTTCTTGAGCAGTGAAAATTATGTCCATAGTTATGTACAAAAACAAAGTTGCTGAAAAATCTCAGCGGGTCTGGCAGCGTCTGTGAAGGAAAAAAGAGTTAATGCTTCGGGTCCGGTGACCGTTCCTCAGAACTCCATGGTAATGTAGTTTCGTCAGAAGCCACTCTGGCTTTCAGGATGGATTTCCTCATGGATTGGGCGAATGTGCTTAGCGAGGATTTAGCGGGGAATGATCTTCCCAGCAGTGGAAAGTAGGGAGACTCCTCTATAATTTCCACACTCCTTATTGTCTTTTTTTTTCTTGAAAACAGTGACAATGATCACATCTTTGAGCTCGACAGAGATTTCTTCTTTGTCCCATATTTTCAGGAACAGTTGATGGAGATGGAACATGAAATCTCTAAAAGAATTCCTATCTGCCCCTGCAACTTTTCCATTCTTCACGTGTCTGATGGCAGGTTCAACTTCTCCCATACTAGGTCAGATTCCAAGATTGTCTTGGCGGGGATTCGGAGAATTTCCTCAAACATAATATCAGTTGCATTACAGTTTAGCAGCTCTTTGAAGAGGCTGATATTTTCTCTGTCTCAGCAAGGATTTGATCCTTTCTCCGAACCAGTTTGAGGCCAAGTCTGTTGGTTCCGTTTCTTGCCTTGGTGGCACTGAAAACCCTGGGTGTTGTGCTTGTCAGCAAGCAGTTACAGCTTCTTAGCTTTGTCAGCCCACAATTGGTCAGCTGTAAAAGTAACACTCAGAATAAAATGTTTGCAGTTTTTTTTCCATAAACATTGGAGCAAGTTAAAATTTGGAACATAAGCCGAAGTAGAAAACAGCAAGATGAAAATCATAAACCAAAACTAATTGCTGGAAACATTAAATAGGCCATGCCTGAAATATTCTCTAAATGGTGCCTGACTGAATAATTCCAGCATTTTCTATTTACCTCAGAGTATGGAGTCAGGGCAGTCAGCGTTGTAGGCCACTGATTATTGTGATCAAAAAGCTAATGCTTAGCAAGTAGTTTTTAATAACAGTATAAAAATGTTGATGTAATTGAATTGTGCATAGGTCTAAAGCCTGAACAGATATTCTGACTAGGAGAACAGGTCAGAGGCTTGGATTTCTGCAACAAATAACTCATCTCCCCAAAGCCCGTTTACCACCTACTGGGCACATGTCAGGAGTGTGATAAAATACTGCTCACTTTCCTAGAGTTCAACTCCGATATCAATTAAGAAGCTTGTCACCATCCAGGATGAATCTGCTTATTTGGAACCCATTGACGATTTTCAACATTTACTTTCTCCATTGCTGATGCAAAATAGCAGTGGTGAGTATCATTGGCAGGTTTCGCTGCAACAGTGCATAAGGGTTCGTTATGCAGCACTAAACCTGCAGAATCTACCACTTAGAAGGTCAAGGGCAGCAGACACATGTGAATGCTACCACCTACAAGTTCCCCTCCAAGTGACACACCACTTTGATTTGGAAATATTGCCTTAGCTTCACTGTCGCTGGGTCAAAATCCAGGAGTTCCATACTGGGTGTGCCCACAGTATATGAAACGCAGCGGTTCAAGAAGACAGCTCAAGACCACATTCTCGGAGCAATCTGTGATGAGCAATAAATGCTAGTCTAACCAACAACAGCCACACCCCATGAATAATTAAAACAAAGGAGTTTTCTAAGCTTTCACAGCTTAATTTTTCTAAGCCCTTGATTTCACTGGTCATCTGTAGGAATTTGATTTGGTTGAGTTGAAATCTAGGATGCTACAGATTAAATGTTTTAAACTAAGTTTAAGTTTGCAAAGTAGGATATTCTTATAAAGAAATTTACAGTAGTGTAACCCCAAATTTACAGTTGCTATAAATAGATTTCTGTTTAGTTCAAGAGGAGACAATTGCAAATGAATACTGTAGAAAATAAAAATGAAGTGGTTGGATACATTTTAACCACATTGCGGTGATGAGAATTCCTGTGTCTTGGTTTAGTTTTATTAAAATAAATCTCACTGGACTTGTTGATGCTGTCAAATTGAATCAACCCACGTGAACAAGTTGAGACTTCTCCACCAAAAATCTAATCCATTTTCCATCCAGCGCCCTTATCTCTTGATTCTCTTTGAGTTGAAAGATCTTGTCAAACTCAGCCTTAAATATATTGAAAAGCATCCACAACCCTCCCAGGTACAAAATTCCAATGGTTCAACTGCCGTTGAGCCAGACATTTCTTCACTCATTCAAATGTTGCCATCCCTTATCCTGTACTTGCTACTTTGAGACTCTTCTGGGGCAAGCATCCTCTCATCGGCTACCCTGCCCTCCTGAAAATGGTAATGTTTCACTGAGATCGTTTCTCATTCATCTAACCTGCAGTGTATAGGTTCATTCTACTCGGCCTGTTCTAACAAATAATCCTATCATCTCAGGAATCAATCCAGTGATCCTTTGTTGTAGCCTTCTTTTAAGGAAGGCTATTCTTTCTTAGGTTCAGTGACAAAAACTGTACAAGTCCTCAAGGAATGGACTCGCCGGTGCCCTGTTCAGTTGCAACAAGGCTTCCCTACTCTTCCACTCCATCCCCTTTGCGTTAAATTGCAATATACCATTGTGTTCCGACATGCTAATTATACTTTCATGAGAATTTTTTTCTTGCACAAGAACAACTAAATTTCTCTTAATACCAATACTTAACAGTTCTCCACCCTTTTTAAAAAAAGTGTATTCTTCCTAATCGAATGAATCAACAGTCAGTTTCCCATATTATACTCCCATCTGCCTCCATCTTCCTCATTTTGTTAAATTGTCCAAGTTACAAACTCTGTGTCCTTCTTGTAACTTATTTATCCATTTATTTTTGTTATTGACAAACTTGGATATCATAGACTCTGTTTCTTCATCTAAGCAATTAATGTAGATTATCAATCACAATGGCCTACACATTGGTCCTTGCAGTACAACTACTACAAAATGCTCTTCTATGTTTGTCATACAGTATTTGTCTCTTGTAAAGCCATGTTAACTGCCTTATCAAATAACAATGACCTAAGTGATTAGCTACGATATCTTTAATAATGGATTCCAACATTTTCCTGATTAATGTCAAAGTTATTGGCCTGTATTCCTGCTTTGCCTTTGTCTCCTTTCTTGAAGCGTTGTTTGCATTTGTCACCTACATGTCCACTGGGATACTCCAAAACGTCAGAATTTTAGAAGAATGTACCAGTGTTTCTCAGTATCTCAGCTACCTGTTTAGAACCTTATGACGTAGGCTGTCAGGTCCAGGGAAATGTTAGGTTTCCAGTCCTTTTAATTTCTCAGTTACTGTTTCTTTAGTAATATTAATAACTTCAAATGCCTTACCCTGAGACCATGGCTTGCATTTTCTCTTGCTTTACTGTACCTTGAACTAGGAAGACAGACCTCAATTTTTTTTTTCTAAGTTCTTGGTCATTTCTTTATTTCTCATTATCATCACTCTTATCTCTGTCTCTAAGAAACCCATGTTTACGTTTTCTGCTCTTTTCTTTTTTGTGTACTTAAGTTTTTGGGTCTTTGAAGTTTGAAGGATTATTTGGAAAAATTGGATAACTAGGATTTGACGTTAATTCAGGTCCAATAGTGTATTTGGGATGGTAAGAAAAAGAATGAAAATTATACATTATTTTCTGTCTTCCCCCAGATATTGCCTCCCACAGCACTAAACTGTGTAAGCTGATGCAGTGGTTAGTTATTTAAAACCAGTGTTCTTTATACTGTTGTTGTTGCCTGTTTGTGATTACCATTATCAATTCAAGTAGCTAGAATTGACTTCTAATTGTGAAGACTTTTGTGAGTTACTATTCTAGTAACATTGTTATATTTTGAAACCTTTCCCGACACGATTTGTCAGCATTTGTTTTAATTTGTTACACTGTCATTGTAAGGAATAAATTGATTTCTCTTTTTAATTTATTTAGCATGTAGGGCGGTGTGATGCTACAATAGAAATAGAACAGCCCTAAAACATTTCTTTGCATGTTATTCTAGTTTGAGGCAATGACATAAATAAAATACAAATAAATACAAATAGATTTCAGCATGGATAAATGTGAGGTAGTACATTTTGATAAGAGAATTTGAGAGGCTGCATATTACTTGGAAAATAGTATTCCAGGTGTGGTAAATTTGCAAACACGCAAAACACCCTGAGAGTATAATAGCATAAATCACTCTAAGTAACAACAACGATTAATAACTCCATTTAAAAAATAAGCAAAGTAGGAATTAGAATTTGTTTTAGAGAGGTGGAATCTAAAAAAGTTCTCCTTGAATCTAATCTTGGTTAGATCAAACCTGTGTACAGTTCTGGTTTATACAGTGAGAAAAAGAAGTAGGGAAAGTGGAGATTGTCTAGAAATGAAAACCTTTCCCTTTTGAAAGAGAAGGCTGTGAGTCATTTAATTGAGGGCTTTAAAGTTATGAAGAGAGAGAATGTTTTCATTTGTGGGGATAAGCAAGATGAGACAGTGTTAATTGTCATCAAGAAATCAACTCGCAAATTTCAAAGAAACTTCTTTACCCGGATATTGGAGGAAATATTAATTGATCACCAAAGAAAGTGGTGGAATCGAATACTATAGTGTATTTGAGTGATGGCTTCATAATTATTTGAGGAAGAAATGGCAGAGTTCTATGAGTAATGACAGGAGGAAACTTAAATGAAGCCTAATTGCTGGCATGAACTAGTTGGCTTGAGTAACCAGTTCCTACACTGTGTATCCTTTACAAATATTTCACACCATTATGATCAGATGATTTTAATTCTTTGCATCTTTTTTGGAGATTTGCTGAACAAACATTCAGGTGCAGAATGCAACTTTTTTTTATTGTACACAATCTTTAACCTGTTTTTATAGTTCCATATAAAAAGATAATTTAAAGGAATGACTTGTTTGCTGCTTGCAAGGGAACTTTGAGTTAAGGTGGGCTGCTAAGGGTGATTCTCTACTTATAGGATGTTGTTTTAATTTCTTTCTCTTACTCTGACAGTTCAGCAAGTGTGTCTCACCCTCAAACAGAGATGCTCCAGGCTAATGTATAAACATATACAGCTTAAAACAGCCATGAGCATTTAGTTTGAAAGTAATGCTGGACCAGGGATTGGCTTGTTCCATATTTATTGTATTTTATGACTCAACTCTCAAAGTACCCAAATCTTGCTCTGAAAGCTGCATTCTGTTTAGTTTTATACCTCAGGAAAATTAAATAATTTGTTGGTTTTCTTCCAAGCTTTATCTGATTGGTCTTTGGAGGTTAGTTAGCTAAGTTGACTGGATGGCTGGTTTGTGATACAGTGTGATGCCAACAATATGAATTCAGTTCTCGCACTGGCTGAGGTTACCATGAAGGAATCTCCTCCTCAACCTCTCCCCTTGCCTGATGTATGGTGACCCTTGGGTTAAACCACCACCAGTTGTTTCTCTCTAATGAGAGAGCAATGCTATGGTCTGATAAGACACTGACACCTTTTCATTTGATTAAAGTGCATTCTGTTTCTCCATCCCATAAAGACCACAGTATTTAGTGTGGGCAGAAGAGTGCCTCTGTCCTGCTGGTAGTTAACTAGATATTGAACAGTCAAAGTACATACAAATTGTAGACCACATAAGGTTTGTGGCAACAACAAATCATGTTTCTTAAATTAAATAGCAAATGTCAGCCTGTGAAATTTAGAACTGCATGTTCTCATCTGTGATCATGGAACCAGTTGCAATTTCATAAAGTGCTTTCTGGACTTCTACTATGTCAACAGTAGTGTGTCGAACACTTTAAGTAACTTAAACTTATCGTTCAGGTTATGAATTGACAGTGCAGATGTTGAACTTTCCTCAAGAGGAATAGGGAAGGGCAATGCAGGTAAGAGGACTTTCTGAGAAAACTGCCGTTTGGCTAGAAACTGAAAAATAGAGGCAGACACAAGAGGAAGCAATGTTCAACACTTTTTTTTTGCTTTCTTCAAGCTAGAATACCAATTTTGTAGTGCCTTGAAGCTATATATTCTGTATATCCAGGAGTAAAATTTGATCTGGCAAAAATCCTTCATTTTCCTTGTATTGCATGCATAATGTTAATGCCAGCAATCCTTAACTTGTCATATACCTTGTGCTGAATTTGGGAGTAGGATTGGTGGGAACAATCTGGTGAGTCTTTCTCATGTTGCTCTCTTCTCATTTAAACTATCAGAAATAGACTGGCACAGCAGTTCGCTGCACAATTCAGAAACATGGCCAACAATCGCTGAGACAGTGTCACTATCAGCAGTTTCCCCAAACTGGATTTCATCCCCTTGAAAATATTACTCGAGCTTAAGTTAAGCCACTACTTTGTGCCCAAAAATGTGGTCCCAAAAACTCGAATTTTGCACGTTTATACACGGCCTATTGAATAGGTGAGTCTAAGTATTGCAGACATAACATAATAGGAAGTGTGCATGATACAGAAGATTTATTATTATTTATTAGATGCATAAAGTCAAGTACATTGATTGCTGAGTGTTACAATTTTTAACTTCTGCAACAATTAAAACATGCTAATTATGTTTCGGTATAGTAATTTCCTTTCTGTCCTCCAGATAATTTTTCCATATACAAATATAACCTACAGAATTACATTGATTCTAGCTGCACACACCTTTTTTTAAAAAAAAAAAAAAAAATTTTAAAAAGCAGTTGAACTGATGTGATTTGGGGTGTTTAAACCATTGCTTTCTCACAGAATAGAACTGTGAAGAAATATGAATTCTGGAAGGATGTGATTGCTTCCATAGAATACAATTACAAAGCATCTGCCTTCAAAGGTAAGTCATTATTTTGTGATTCTTAATGCAGAGTTTTATAGAAATTTGTAGGACTCATCATTTTAGATTGCCAACTCTTGTAAAGGCTTCTGGAACTTCATGATGACCCCCTGTAAAACTGTCATCCAGTAAATTGTAGGCAACGTGAAGCTTCATTGTTATGTCTGTTATGGATTTTCTTCTTTTTAATCTCCATTTTGGAATGTTCTTACATTTGTGTTAACGAACATGCTGTTACGATATGGACATACCTTTTTACCAGTCATTAAAAAAGTACTTTGAAGTTTCTTCCATCCAGATGGTATTTAAGCATGTGACTATGGTTGTTAGAAGGAATGTGGATAAAGTTTGCTTTTACAGTCTATTACCAATATGCAGCTGCAACATTCAAGTAGAATGTCCTACCTGTTTCTGCCAGAGAATAATTTCGTAGTAGTAAAATGTCCACTTCCAATGTGAAGGTTTGAGGAACTTCAGCTTGTCTTGCATTACATCTAAATTTTTTCCATTTTTTGTTACATCTGTCTATCACCCCCTGTATATGAATGCATCTTGGCTCATAGAATTACTCTTGAGTTAAATCACTGGGCACATCCTTCAAAGTAAGTGTAAAAAGAAGCCTGAATCAGTTGTCAAATGGTAAACAGTCATTTTTTTGGTGCTAGATTGAAAATTTTAAAGCCGTTTTTACTGGATATTGTCTCTGCAAACAGCATGATACTTTGTTTCTTTGAACCTATTTTTGTGGCATTAAAATATATAACCATGAAATTGAAAATCTTCCATGCTTTCATGTTTTTAAACATTTTCATGATATTTACATTTTAAAGTTCATGAAAGATAATTACTCTAGAATCGTTAATTTTCAGACTTAAAGAAGGAATATATGGTATGGGTTCAATGCTTGTTTTGGTCTTTGATTGTTTGTATTTATTTTCTGGTAGTTGACAGGAAATAGCAATATAAGTAGACATCTACACAATGGGTGTCACTTTCCATGCCCTGAAGAAACGCCACCTCAGACTGTTGCTATTCATTATGTAAACACATTGAATTAGTTTTACTTTGCTACGTAATTTTTCAGCGTGGATGAGTGCATTATGATGGTACATGCGTAATCATGATCAGTCATAACAAATTGTCCTGATACTAACCATAATTGTAACTGCTCAAACTGGAATGACCAAACATCCTTTAACTAAATCAGAGATAGTAGGAACTGCAGATGCTGGAGAATCTGAGATAACAAGGTGCAGAGCTGGATGAACACAGCAGGCCGAGCAGGAAAGCTGATGTCGGGCCTAGACCCTTCTTTGGAAAATTTTCTGAAGAAGGGTCTAGGCCCGAAATGTCAGCTTTCCTGCTCCTCTGATGCTGCTTGGCCTGCTGTATTCATCCAGCTCTGCACCTTGTTATCCTTTAACTGAATTTCTTTTGATTACTTATCAAGTTAAGACTGATGAGATTTTTCTTCCTGCTGTGCCATATTTTGAATAAAATAAAGAAGTAGTAAATTAGATCTTTGTTTTCACCCCTCAATCATTTATCATGTCATATTTTTAATGACAATGGCTTAATGACAAGGGAGATTCTAGCGGAGTGAAGTAATTTATTCTCTCTCAAATATAACATAAAGACAGTAATACAAGATACTTTAATGATGAATAATTTACCCTCCTAGTTGTCAACCACATTACATCTCTTTCTTTTTCCTTCATGTTAAGAAGTTAATGACATTCATAGACTTGATCAGATCTATTGAAAGTAATCGAAATGCTTTCTTTTGGAAATGCCCTACAGTAGACATTTTCTGTTGTAGTCAGTACTTAAAGACAGTTTCTGTAAGTGATCCCACTAAGCTAAGCTTGTCTATATACATATCATTTCTGGTAATGTAATGTTGGTTGGGGTCAAACAGGACCCTTGTGTTACTATGATTTGCCACCTGAAATTGATGTCAGTGTCACAATTTTCTCCACTTCTGTATAATGTGACAGTGCAAGTTAAACTGTAAATTATATACAGTTGGTTTATTAAATGTGATATTTATACAGGTGTTTAAACACTTGAGGTCAATGTCGCACTTGTTATTGGACTGCAGACTGTTTGTTTCTCTGAAAATACAAATGTTAAGATGTCTCGGCACTTTGTTCGAATATTAATATAACACTAAGTCAGCATTTGTGATGCAAGTGTTATGTGGCAGTCATACCTGATAATATCTTCACTGTTGCGAATAGTGCTAAAAGTTAATTTATTGGTCAGTGAAGATGAAAGAACACAATCTTTCATCCCTTTAAGATTATTTGATCATTGCATCAACCTATTAGTGCCAAATATTTGCTTAAAGTTTTTGGACTTATTACAGGAGTGGATTTTATTAGACATGCATCAAATTATTAAATGCATTTCACTGGGAGATGGGTGGGGGATGGCAGGGAATCCAGGCAAATTTTAAAGAAGACTTGGAATGGTGTTCAAATGGACAAAATGCATGCAATACTGAATAAGTTGGTTTCTTTAGTGGAGATTGAAGTCACCTTTTGAGTGTGTAAGTTGACTAAGAGGACAAGAGAAAAATTGAACCAAATGTAGTATAGTCATGAAAAACAGAAGGAAACGTGGGTGGTAATTTTAAGTAAAATTCTCCCGTTCATAGTGATGGTAGGCAGATTGATGAACACTTGCCTTGGGCCGAAGAGGACATTGAAATTGTCCCCAATCTGATTTGCAACAAGAGGTGGTTTTGGCAGAAGTGAAAAGCAATGATTTTAACTTTCCTCATATTCAACTGGATGAAATTTTGATTCATTCCTTAAAATTTGAGGGCACAGATGTGGCCACATCAATTAGGAAAATGGTGGATAGTTTGATCTGTGTCCTCTGTGCATATTGAAAATGCCTGTAGGTGGTGTCACTGAACAGCAACCTGCAAATGATAGAGGAAGAATTTTGGGCAGTCTAGAAATGTCAGTGTTTAGCAAGGGTGGAATCATTCCTAGATGTGAGCATGTAATATGAAACTGGATAAGAAAGAAGTTTGCCTAATTCTATGGATATGCTTTGGAGCTAGAGGGCCAAATGTCTGGTGCATGTGATGATTGTCATCAATATGACATGCTGTGGAAATATCTAGAAGGAAGACATAACACCAATATTATTTAAATAAAGAGTAGGTTACGCTTGTGTAGAAGAATGAAGCCCGAGTAAGTTGTGTAGCTGGATGACTGGCTGATCAGTCACAGTCAAGTTTTAGACCTAATATTCTAACTTTAAGTTGATCTTACTGAGTTCAATAACTTCACTTTGAGCCTACCTTTGCCCATCACACTTGATCTTCACATAGTCACAGCTCTCAATAGCTGCATGTTTAAGTGTAAACTTGGTTATGACACTTTTAATGGAAAATAGTGTTTAATCATTTGAAAGAAACTGGTGGTAATTTAAATCTAAATAAAATTCATGTGATTAACCTGACATGTTCTGACATTTTAACTGTGCCATTGAAAAATATTAGAATTTCTGGTTTGTTTTGGCTGGATCACAGGGAAGATCAAAGACTTCTGACTTTTTCTACAACATGGATCCTAGTAAGTTGGACTGAATCATATCATTACAAAAGATTTGTATGACTCAAAGAAAATTCTCATGGTACCATCCAGGAACCTTTCATATGGAATTAATAGCTTAATAATGGTTTAACCCTTTTAAGGTGGCTGGTATTTCTGTAATATATTTTAAATGGTTGTCTGGTGGAGCTAGTCTTCCAAGTACGTGCTTTTAACAAGTGACCTGCTGGATACAGGCATTAGGCAATTTAAAGCGGCTGTCCATATTTTTAAATTTACAATAAAATACAAAACCTGAAGCACATTGAAAAATATAATCTGAGTTGATGAAGACTCTTTCTTTGTGAATGCTTCCTTAATTCCTGGAAGTCATTTGAGAGATTTGCCCACTCTTCCTCGCCTTTCATCACCTCCCTCCTTCTCCTTCCGTAAAGGTTTTGAAAAAAATAATCATCAGGGCCATAGTGTAATAATTCAGAGATTTAAACCGAGGATATGTATGTCTGCAGTACTAGCATCAAGATTAGAATTATCATGTGTAGTAATTGGTCATTGCAGCCTGGAGATGCGTTCTGATATAATTAGTGTCCATTGGAGTTGGACTTTTCTTACTGGCACCTTTTGCCCTCCAGCTGTATCATAGAATCCCTACAGTGTGGAAACAGGTCATTCATCCCAACGGATTCACGTCTCCCGTCCGAAGAGCATTCCAACCAGACCCCTCTCCCCACCCCCTCCCTATAACGCTGCATTTCCCATGGCTAATCCACCTAACTTACAAATCCCTGGACACTATGAGCAATTTAGCATAGCCAGTTGACCTAACCTGCGCATCTTTGGACTCTGGGAAGAAATTGGAGCACCCAGAGGAAACCCACGCAGACAAAAAACAGTCACCCGAGGGTGGGATCGAATCCGGGTCCCTGGCACTGTAAGGCAGCAGTGCTGTCCACTGAGCCATTGTGCATTATATGATGCAACATATAATGCAAGTGTCATGCGATACAATACAAGTATCAACTATAAATTGCAAATGCGCTATTTTGCCTATTCGATTGAAACTGCATACTTTGTTCATTTGATTAACAAGAAATTGGAGATCTTTTGTATAAAAAAAATTTAACAATCTTGATGAAATTTGAAGAATGAAAGTTTTTTCTTTTGCTGTGATTCATGAAGATGATGACCTTTGCAACCTATTTTGTACTGTTGCAATTCCCAGTTTGGTAAATAAGAGAAATGACTAAAATTCATCTACACAGTTTTACTTGAGAAAAATACCTTGAACCCGTTGACAGCAGTATGCCTGACTTGACTTGTTTCATCTCATCTGCTGAAACCCTCACTGATGCCTTTATAAACATTAGAATTGATATTTCCAAAGCACACCTGACTCATGTCCCGTTTTCTGCTCTGCATTAATTTCAGGTCATCCAAACCTCTGCTGTCTGTACTATAACTTGCAACTCGGTCTGTTCGTTGTACCTCCCTAGTTGCAAGTCTACAATGACTCCTTGTGAAGCAATGTCTTAATTTTAAAATTTTAACCCATTTTCAAATCCTGACGTGGATTTGTACCTCCCTTTAAATTCATCCATTCCCAAAATCCTCTGAAAATCTGTAGTTCTTATAATAAAACTCTTATTTGTTTCTCTTAAAGTCCTCTAATTTCATTCACTCCCCCATTGGTGGCCGTGCCTCCTTCGATCGGTGTGTTGAGATATGGAATGTTCTAACTACACCTCTCTGCTTGTCAACCTCACCTTCCTTCTTTAAGATACTTTGTTAAAACCTACCTCTTTGACCAATTGTTTGGTATCTTCTCGTCCAATGTTATCTTGGCTTGGTACTAAATTTTTTATAATGCTCCTGTAAATCAGTTTGGGAAAGATGTTACATAAATTTAAGCTGTTGATTTAAGAAAGAGCATTGGCAACGCTGTTAAATGCCAAAAAGTGAAATTTGGTGAGGGTATGTTGTGATTATGTAATAATTGGACAAAGGAATAACTTCCAGCTATAGTTTTCTGACAGTGATTTATCCTAAAGTAAGATATACTGTCAAAGAAATGCACTCCTATGGTCTGGTAGGTCTATGACACATTTCTTTTTTTATCTTTTTTAACTTGTGTAGTATTAAAATTATTTTTCAATATTTAACTTTGTGTAACGATCATGCAAGTGAGATGTTAAGGACTTTTGTTTATAAGAATGGCTATATTGTTCAACTCAAAATTCTGTCATGGGTTTATGGTTTCAGTGCTGCGTTTATGCAACCAGGCGAACATGGGCTTTGTGTTAGAAGAGACACACTTTGATGGCTAAACTAAACCGGAAGACCATTTTGAAATGAAATAGCTTTCATTTCTTTCATAGCTGGATTGTTCTATGCCCTAAAAAATTTGACAAGCCTAAATACATCATATTAATTTTGGAATTAAGTTCTGCAGTTTGTTTTGTGTAATTTTAGAAGGCAAGCCTAGGCTTTACAGATTTAGTACAGTGATATGGTTTGATTGTTGGAAATTTTGACCCTTTTCTCTTTGGAGAGTAAAGGAGGGCAGAACTAAATTTTCTGACTGATTTCTTTTCGTTCAGTAACAAGTGGTTCCTTAAATAACATATGAGGAGTTTTGGAATCCTCCAGAACATTTCAGTGTATCAAATAGACATAAGATGATATTAATCCTTAGAATGTAATACTATAGATTATATTAACAGAAATAATTCTTGTGGTGCCTCGTAATTTTCATTGAAGCTGTTTGGAATTCAGAGATACCACTGACCATATAGAGGAGAAGTAAGTAGTAAGGATTAATAAGCTGGTAAAAGCAATGTCAGATGCTGGAGATCTGAAATGAAACCAAAGTTGTTGGCAGTCCAAAATGACACTTTTGCAATGCCCAAGGAATATATTTCTGTTTTTATTTTAGTTTTTGAGCTGGTGTTGCTGAGTGAACTGATTGATCCACTGCCTATTGTACATATCATTCTTGTGTACTAAGTGTGATAAACTTAATAAATTCTGTGAAACTTGTAAATTCTGTGATACTTGCACCTGGAATTGTTTCATAACTAGTAAGGGATCACAGACTTTAGATTGGCTTTCTCAACTCACTTTATAATTATAATTGATTTAAGTTTTAGATTAAAATTACATTGAATAAACTTTACTATGATAACCAGAGAATTCTGTTTCTAGTAATTTTATTGACATGGATAATGGTAGCAGAACAAACATTGTTCTTAAAAACTCAATTATCTGTGAAAACTCACAATAATTTGACTGCTTTTAGGTTTGTTGTTTTATTTTTAAATATCTCTAATCAAGTTCTTTTGTCTTTCAATCACATCAAAGCCACAATAAATTTGGTTCCATCATCCATTTCGAGTTGCACTTGCTTCAGTTGATATGCATCAAGATGGAACAATTAGGTACCCTGAGAAGGAAGAACTTTTCTTTTCAGATGAATACAAACCATTGAATTCTTCTGACAGTAACTTAATGTAAACTTTGTCTTTCTTGCGTAAGCTTATTATAGCACTACCTGAGGCCTGATCGATGTAATCTTTTTTATAGTCATCGAATGTATACATTATGGCTTCTTCATTTTTATATAATCCAACCCAAACACTCGCTCCTTTGACATGTATGTGATAAGAAAATTGATAGATGCCAGGTATTTTGCATGTAAAAATCCCAGTTGATGGATCATAATTATCATTTGAATTGATTAATATTTTGTCAAACACCACTGGTTGGTCTGTCGATGAAAATGAATGAGAGAGAATGGCTGTAAATGCTGGTATTTTATGCTTCTCTGATTGCACAACCACTTTTCCAGGTGGTCCTGGTGGACCAGGACGTCCTGGTGGACCTGGAGGTCCTTCCCGTCCAGGTGAATCAGGTACATCACCTGATATTTTTCCATAATAATTACCTGGCATACCTGGGGGACCAGGCGGGCCAGGTTCCCCTCTTTCGCCTGGATTTCCAGGAGATCCTTGATATCCAGGTAGACCTCTTGGACCTTGTGGTCCAGCAGGCCCTCTCATTCCTTCTTTTCCAGGGTACCCAGGTGACCCTGGAGAACCTGGGCTACCTGATTTACCAGGTGATCCTGATAGTCCTGGGTCACCCTTTTGACCAGGAATTCCTTGTTGACCCTCTGGGCCTGGTCTACCTGGAAGTCCTGGAGATCCTGACTTTCCTGGTGCACCATTTGGCCCTGGCTGTCCCTTTGGTCCTTGAAGCCCTTGTGGACCTGGTGGCCCTGGATTACCTTTTGGTCCTGGTGCACCATTTTGCCCTGGATTCCCTTTTGGACCTTCCTGGCCTGGTGGGCCTTGTGGTCCTCGTGGTCCTTGTGGTCCAGGTTGACCTGGCTCTCCCTTTTTCCCAGTTTTTCCAGGATAACCATTTGAGCCTGCAGGGCCACGCTCTCCTCTGGGTCCTGGATTTCCAGGTTTACCAGTGCCTGGCATTCCTGGTGCTCCCGGCGAACCTTTTTGACCCTGTGAGCCCTTTGGTCCAGGAGATCCGGGTGATCCCGGTTCTCCTTTAGGTCCAGGGGATCCATTTCTTGATTGTCCAGGTGGACCTGGTGGCCCTTTCTGGCCTTGTGCTCCTGGCTTTCCTTGTGAACCGGGCGCGCCTCTCTCCCCATTGGAACCTGGTTTACCAGGAGGCCCGGTTTTTCCAATTCCTTTTGGTCCAGACGGACCTGGTGGCCCTCTTGGTCCTGGAGCACCTTTTTCACCTGGTGCCCCTGGAGCCCCAGATCCCTTTTCTCCCTTTGGGCCTGGTTGACCTGGACTTCCTGACTTGCCTTTCGGTCCAGGTGCTCCTGGTGATCCTGGTGCCCCTTGGGAGCCTGGTTTACCAGGAATTGATAATCCAGATGGGCCAGGAGGTCCTCTTGGTCCTGTACTGCCTTTTTCTCCTGGTTTCCCAGGAGCTCCTGTGTCACCTTTCTCTCCGGGAGATCCCTTTGCACCTGGCTTTCCTGATGCTCCTGGAGCACCTGGTTTCCCAGCAGACGACTGTCCTGGTGGTCCTCGTGGCCCGGAGCTGCCAGGAGCCCCTCGCGGTCCGATTCCTGGATCTCCTGGTGGACCTTGTGGTCCTGGTGGACCTGGGTAACCTCGTGGCCCTCTTGATACTCCTTTTAGTCAAAATAAAAAGAAAAACGTGATTTAGAATTTGCTTTCTTCATGCTAATTCATTTCATTTGGCTACTTTAATTTTAATTGACCATGGTGGGTGTCATGGTCTGTGAAATGTCTTTCATCAAATGCCAAGCACTCTTTTCATGCATAAACTCAGATTTTTAATGAAAAGAAGACACCTATTCTGCTTTAAAAGTGTACCTTAATCACAAACCCATTGCGGCTCTGGCATGATACTGATTCTCGTTCTCAGAGTGATCCAAACGTACATTGCATTTATTTTGCAAGCAGTCACCTTGTGAGGAGCAAGCAGAAGTTTATATATTTCTATTTAACATAAAGGAATTGTTCAGCATAATCTCTTTGCTGTTTACTATATGTCTCCATTAATAAAGGTCAGGATATTCTTGTGTTTTCTTGACTGCTTACTATTCTAATTTATTCCTAATTCCTAATATTTCTTGGGATCTCACTTTGTATTATTTCAAACAAACAGTAAATTAGATCCACCAAACTCTTTTCTTCAAATATTAGTTTTATTATGTTAACGTTTTTGATTAAATCTGTTCAAGTTATGCATTTGATGTCATAACAACTAGCCTAACTACATTTGGATCACTAATGTTAGATCACTCAAGTTTGTATAGTGATGTAAAATATTATTTATAATATTAGTCTTCAAATTTAATGAGTTTTTTTCCAGAATATTGGCACTGATAGTCACACTATAAGTACAAATTGTTGATGTGTGGTATCATGAGTAGTAGTCAGGGTTCTGTGGGTTGACCACTTATCTACCTGTCCAGGCCTCCATGGCAGCTGACATTGCAAGTGTTACCTTTTCTTCCAGATCTGTCCTCACGTCGACATCAAAATTAGTACCACTCCCACTTTTCTTTTTAAATGATGGTTGACAGCTTTAGCCTTGAATAGCTGCTCCATCTCTAACCTGCTTTTCCTCTTCAAATATCCATGTTCATCTTCCCCTTAGCTATATGTCTGAATCTTTCAAATCCATATTTTTCCCCGTTTACAACACTGACATGGTTGCAACAAAAATCATGTATTTTTGTGGAAGTGTTTTCAAGGAGTTATAATCCTTGAGGGAAAATGGATCATGGGGTATGAGGAGAAAATGGCAACAGGGTACTAAATTAGATGGCCAACCACGATCATATTGAATGGTGGACTAAGATTGAAGGGCTGAGTAGTTTCTTCTCCTATTTTCTATGTTTCTATGGTCAATTGTCCCTCCTTTCACACTTGTGCAATCTTTGACACTGGTCTGCTGCATCCTCCTCCAAAGCCTATCTTTTGTTATTGAAAAATCACAGAAATGTCATGGCATAGAATGAAGCCATTAAGCCCAATTGTGTCTACACTGGCTCTCCAAATGAGCATCGTGGCTTAGTGTTATTCTCTGCATATTCCCCATACAGGTAGTCCTTCTATAATGTGATAGTTGTGTTCTTGTGTGACCTTGCGCTATAGAATATAGAGTTATAGGGAAATTGCTACACCTGTACAGCAGAAAGTTCGCGTTGTGCAAACAGCGTCCATCACTTATCAATTGCGTTACAGCCAATTCACATTAACGAAACATGCATTGTAGTAGAATTATCTGTACCCTTACACACTATTTACATTTATTTAATCATCTTTTGTTCTCTTAATGTGTGGACACACATGCGCACACAGATATAATATCTATTGTGATAAAATAGCTTGACACTGAGAGACTTCATAATGTACTGCTTTACACCAGAAAGCTCTCGATTCTGTATATAAAATACATGGACTGCAGCAATTTAACTAAAATTGAATAAGTTAGTTTTGTGAATGGTTGAATGTCAGAACTTACCTACTACGTTTGTAGGTAATACTTTGGTTTAGTTTTAGTACTAAATGTCTCAGTCTTATCTGATAAAATGATAACTGCTACAATATATTAACAGGTTGTGGCTTGCACTGAATTCATATCTGCATGCAGTTGTCATCTGTCCCATATTGGAGTGAGCCTCATTTCTGTGTGGCTGTTCTACAGTCATTAATCATGGTGCTGAAATTAAAGCTTAGCAAAAACTTGCTTTTATTTTTCCAGTGGGACTGTATATTTTTAGTTCCCTTTCTGCTGGAAACTAGTCTACTGATTAATGTTCCTCATTGAGGCTCATTCTTTAATTTTGCTACTCTGCAAGACATGTTGGATAATTTATCTCATGTCTTTGTTCAATTTATTTTTTGCAGATTTTCTAAATTTTTAAATTTTGTCTAAGATTCTCAAGTTTGTCTTATTTAATTCAGTTCACTTTCTTCCCACACTTCATGCAGTTTATTAGAAATAAAGATGTAAAAGGTATTACTTTTATGTTTTATCTGGTTTAATTTTTTATTCATGTTCAAATATTTCTGATTACCGATTATAGTATAAACAAATTCTCCTAATTCTGGACAAAATTGACAACAACCTTTTTATTCTGGTAAAGAAAAAAATACTGGAATTAAGGTGAAGAATTATGATTTCTAATGTTACGTGTGAAGAAGTTAATTTTTATTTAATTTCATCGAAATGGATTTACTTGGATGAATTTTGTGTATTTGCACCAATTGCACAAATGATTCATGACAATTCATATAAGTGCGGAATCCTAAATTACTTGAGTTACAGGGTGTGTGGAAGTATTATAACTATTTTCAAAAAGGTGTCACATTCAACACATTGTAATTCCAGCAGAATTCAATGGTCACTGATTACATTTGATATGTATTTGAATCCATACTTGGATGTTTGGCAGTAATTACCCTGCTTGCTTTATCAGGAAGATTTAAAGCACCATGTAAGAGAATCAAATGTAATTTTTCTTTGGGGCTTCAAAGATTATTAGTTAAATTGGTTAAGTACACTGCAGTATTCTGGACTATTCTACCATGAATTAATTGAGTTTTTTATTATTTAGTTAAAACTTTTGTGATGTATTCAGTATTCATAACAAATTAATATGAAATTCGATGGATCTGCAGCATCATCCTTGTTATTTGCCTCAGGGTCCAATAGTATCTTTTTACTTACCTTCAGAACTGTCGGAATCATCTCCGTCTGAATCACTCCCTGTTTTAAAAAATCAATAACCATAGTCAATGAATCTTAAAGTTTAATGATTTTAATTTGACATTTAAAAAGATGAAGAAGTTTTTGCAACAAGATTCATCATCTGCATCAGATATTTCTTTAAAGCGTACAATTATAACAGAAAACCAAAGTCACCTACTCTAATTAATTGCAATACTGTTCTGCACATTAGGTGCATAGAGAGCTTTAGGAAACAGCATAGTAAACACTATCAAACTCGTATTGGAAAATAGCAGAAAAAGCAAAATGAATAGATTAGATGCATGTTTAAGCACAACTTCTATTTAAATATTTAGTAGACATTTAATCTTGGCATTTTCAATGGAAGTTTTCAACTAAATTGCAATCAAAACAACAATTTGTGTTTTTTTTTTTAAATCGGGGCTTCCCAAAGTGGCAATGCGGTGGGGTGAGATCAGGCCCCAATGGGCTTGCAAGTGAAATTTTGGGGATGAAAACACTGAGGCAGCAATAGCAGACTCCCCTTCACCCTGTTGTCATAGATCCTCTTTCTCACCATAATACTGCTTTATCCAGCCGCTTTTATCATGCAAAACATCACAAGGCAATTATGAAAACTAAACAGTTGTTTTGTTTACTACTACTACTGTGTACAAATCTACAGGAACTAAAATGCCAACATGGATCATTCTTATAACAATTTAATAAAATTAAGTTGGTTACACATATTTATTTTAGTTTGAAACCAAGTAGATGATGCCACTGGGGAATGAAGGTTTTCTTATACGTTTGCTGTTTTGGGATTCAGTGCCTCTTTTTAAGATTATTGTCACCCAGGTATGGGCTGATCAGGATAAAGTTCCGTTATAAATTTCTTTTTGCCAGTTCTGAAGAACAGTCATATTCGGTTCAAAACATTATCTCGATTTCTCTCTCCTACCCCTAACTCAATATTATGTCTGATCTCTAGTTATTTTATAGAGTAGCCATACAAAAACCACTTTTCAAATAATTTTACTTTTTCACACCTATTAACATCTGAGTGAATGCGTCATTTTGATCCAAGATTATTTTTTGACTTGGTTGAAAATTAGGTTTTCGTTTTTATTCTCCGACCTAGCTTTGATTCACTCATAACCTTGTCTCCTTTTGCCAATTGTGGCCCACCCTTTTATACCATTTTATTACAGCTACTTTAAATAGATTGTTTTGATTGAAGGCAGGAAAACTGAACTTACTAAGCAGCCTGAGTTTGTGTTCCTGACTGCATTGTTTAATTGTACTATTTAAATCACTTTTATAGATTTCATTGTCACCACAAAATTTGCAACTTTACATTTTGTACACTGCTTAACATTATAGAAACAAATCCTTCTTCAAATAATTGCTCATTGGATCTCAATATTCACATTTTTTCACCCCGAGGTTGGTAATCAAATATTTTTCAAGATGAATGCTATTTTATGTTGAATGCTATTCCACATTAGTGATAAATTGCTCCATCTTTATATTTACAATAAATACAGCTGTCATACATAAGATTTGAATAGTAACCATAAGCAGTCACTTTTAAGTATTCACCATTCCCTTGCATGCAAAGCAAGGGATATTTTCTTAGTAATGTGCAATTGAGCAAATCGGCATACTTAGATTTAAATGTTTGCTCTACCTAAATATTAAGGACTGCATGCATTCAATGTGCTTTTCTTTGCTTTCATCTGTACATATATGTTAGTAGATTGCTTGTGGCATTGCTGTCAGAATTAGACTGATTAGGATTGTGTAACACTATTTCTAATAGAAAATATATATGACGCAAGCAGTGTGCGCTATCTGGATAACTTTAACAATATTATTATTCACCTAGTTTCATAAGTCAGGTAATTTGTCAAATAGATGGTATAAAAAACCTGAGCATGTTCAAACAGAAAATGCTTGTAAATGTTACAGTATCTTGTATCTTGCTACTTATTCAATGTATTAAAACACCTGAAGTGGGAAAACATTTTAATGGATACTTCCACTGTATTCTTAGAAACGAATACATTTTAATTTAGAGGTGTGAGATGTGAATTTTTGAATTATTTATGAAATCTCAAATTTCCTTTCCAGAAAAAATATTGCAATCAAAATACATTGTGTCCAGGATTATGCTCAGTAGACGGTTTTCATGAATCTTCATCAATTTAGGGACGGTACCAGCTGTATAAATGAGCTAATCCTGGACTTTCTGAGGAAGGGTCACCGGACCCGAAACGTTAATTCTGTTTTCTCCTCCACAGATGCTACCAGACCTGCTGAGCTTTTCCAGCAACTTTGTTTTTAATCCTGGACTTTAATGGAGGGACATTTGGAAACTAAAATAATTTGTGTGAACCTTACTTAGTGGTCTGTCCTGAGCAGCATGAAAGAAAGGTTAAAAAGAGGTCTAAGCCACACCTGTTGACGCATCATGCATTGAGAGTATTGCCCAGAAAACTTGAAAAGTGGATGGTGACGACAAGAAGTGGCAGTGGAATTAAATGATGCAACCACATTGTTAGCACCCTCAATCACAGCACCAAGTCTAAACCTCTCACCCTGAGGTTGTGCTGCATCTAATTTACCCATTTGCCTGCTCCAAGTGCTTACAGCTTCCCTACTTTTAAGACCTTATTCTCCCTTTTCTTGATGTGCACACTTGCTTTATGAAAATTACCATATATTGTTAAAGTTCATTGAGCATAGGCTTCCTCTGCCCATAATTTTTCCCATTTAAGAATAGCTGGGAGTTAAAACGGATATCTACTCTCCAATCAAAATGAGTAAAGTGAAGACAGGTTCCATTATCCAATGATGTTTTTGTATGGTGTGTGTGTGTCTACGTTGCATGTCTGGAAACTGAACCTTTTCTGAAATGTTAGTGTGTATGCATATATACTGTATAATGTAGATATGGAATACTATATTTCAATACTTTGTAGACAAATATGCATATTTTGTATTGCAGAGCTATATTTTTGAGTATATAATTGACGCGTGTATAATATGGACTGTACGGTAAAAGCTGAAGACAAAATAAGGTGAGAAAATGTGTGATAAAATGGTCGACATAGCAGCAAGGAAACATGATGAGAGGTTTGCACAGAAGAATGAATGAATTGAAGAGATCAAAGAAACTTGTATAGAAACTTGTCTGCACATTTCACCTGAACTTTTTAAAGAAATGTACAGTATATAATAAATGTACACAAATTCTTTAAATGTAAATAAGTTATGAATGAAGCTGGCTACCCCCTTATACAATATAGGCATGCCTCATTTTGCCGCGTTGTCTTACACAAACCAGTAAAGGCAGCGACCCTAAATTAAGTTTAAACTTACCACCATGACCTTTCAAACGTTGATGTGCGGCATTGTATCCCATTCCATGGATCACGTTCAGTGTAAGCAATAACAGAAACACAGTGATTTGTTTTGAAACCATCGTTGTTGATCTGATCTGTAAAGAGTGAATAAAATCATGATGAGCATAAATGGAAAAAGTTATTTAGCTTAACTGTATTTCGTAGAATTTCAAGAACTGAACACTTGAGTGGAATGATTGAAGTTACTTTGAGATTCAAATACGTGTATACAAATTAAGAAAGTATTTTTGTTCTTCTTTATGTATGACTTTATAGATAGCTATAACATTTTGGGTAAGGAATTTAATGCTATTCAGATCACATTTTGCTTAATACCTTAATGCTGCATGTGTGCTGTTTTGTCAATCTTACCTAGTCACATCCCACGACAGGAATGTGAAGTGTACAGGACGCGCTGATTTATTTATTGTTGTGCTCTGTAAAAGTAAACTGTTGTGGTAGTTTACTGCAAACATACACAAAAGTTAACCTCTGCCTTCCTTGATCTTTTCCTAAGTCAGCATTATTGTAAAATTAAAGCTAAAACATACCAGCATATTCTGATTTCAGAGCCTTGCTTCAGTTCAGTATCCCTCACGGGTTAGTCACTGAAATAATGCAGAGATTGCTGAAGGACTGTCTTCTAAACAGATTGTGCATCATATTTATATCTGTAAACTTTTAGCTCTGCGCAAGTAAAATTTGTAACTCCTCCCTTTCAAAACACAAGTGCTAATTATACATTTTTTTTTTATACATAACATTTTGATGCAAGAAACTTGTATGTCAAGCTAGTGGGTTGTTTGTGGCGAAAGCTTCCTTGCCATCTTCGAGATTGGTAGCTATCTCATGTAGAGGTCTTCAAATCCAAATGTGAAACAGGTAATTAAAAAAAGGAAATTGGGAAGCTTTTTTTAAAATTAATTAAGTCATTCATGTTGACCAACTTGGAGTACATATTTTTCATGACCATTTATAAAGTAATAGTTCAGTTTTTTGAAAAAACTGAATAACTGTGGATGCTGTAAATCAGAATCAAAAACAAAAATTACTGGAACAGCTCAGCAAGTTTGGCAGCATCTGTGACGAGAAATCAGTTAACGTTTCGGGTCCGGTGACCCTTCCTCAGAAGGGTCTGAAGGACGGTCACTGGACCCAAAACGTTAACTCTGATTTCTCAGTTCAGTGTTTTTGATCGTTTTACCTAGACATCATTTTACTGTTTATCAACTTTGTATGGTATCTGCACTTCAGCTGGTTGAGCAAGATATTGCTAAAGTAGAGGGTAAATAACCAAGTTCGCAGACTGTAGTTAACATCAGTTATTGTACATTTTATTTGTGAACAAAGTACATTTACTGAAAACCTATTTTATTATGTTGTTACGAATCCAAAGATTTTCTTTTCCTGAAAGATAGGTTTGAAAATTCAATACAGCATAGTAACAAAACAGTGCATTGCAGAGGGAAAAAGTTCTGAATTTGGGCAAATAGGAACTGGGGTGCAGTTGGAAGAAGGAATTACTGTTTGCCTTCTGTACATCCAGTAGTTTGTGTTACAGATAAATACTTTAACCTACTGGCAGCTTAAATTAGTTCAGATATCTATTTTGAAATTTTTAAGCTGAGCTGATTAAATACATAGCCTAATTAAATAAATGAAACAATGGCTATTTTGGAATAGCAGTGCTGTCAGCCTGCTGCAACAGCTTTTCTTTTTGGAAGTTTTTGGAGATCTTTGTGATCCCAGACAAACACGTGCATCTACACATCTGCTGTCTGTTGTCTTCAGGAACTTTAGATATGTTTAGATTTAAAAGTGCAGATATTACAGGTATCAAGGAGGGTGATGGTTACGTGGGCATTTAAATCCAGGAGGCTGTCATATCCTTTTTTTGGGAGGTGGTAAATATCTGACTAGTGATTAGCAGCAGCAGACTGACAGCGAGCAAGGCAGTTAAAAGGGTACCATTTATCATGGCCGTGGTTAGGAAAATTCTGCTTTCAAGGTGTTTGATTCTAATGAAACACAGATATTGTAAAGCAAAGGGTAGTCTTGATAATAATTGAAGGCATAGGAACTAGGTTCACTCTGTAGACAAATATTGGGTTGGAAGATGTTGATGTGAGTAGTTTGTAGTACACTAACAATAGTTTTGCTGTTAGGCAACTTATTAATTGAAGGAGCTTATAGCAAAGCCAGCACACCAGTTTGCTTTAATTTTCATATTTGTAACCTTTACTTGTTACAAATATGCTTATACATATGGATATTTGGACTCAAAGTTTACTAAAACCAAGACAGAACCAGTCAGACAGAACTTAAACCCCAACAGTTTATTTGTATATATTTCAACTTCATGATGCACTCAAGTGTTAATGTACTTTCACCCAAGTTACACTATCCTTCTGAATCCATTGCGTCTGTATGTTACACTATAAAAATTTAACAAACACTTCATCATTCAACCGTTAAGTAGAGAGACACTCGAAGGTGTTTAATTTAGTGACTGACCAGGTCACACTTGCCTTGGTGCAACAAAAAATTCTTCAGATCTATTCACAGCTGATAGATGGGATGAGGGCATGGCTCCTGGTGATTGTTTGACCTACCACTGTTGCACAGCAGCTCTCAAAATCTGGCGCCATAGCTTTACCTATATTCCAGATGGCCAAATCCATCATATAAAATTTTGTTTTTAACTCTTGGCTGTTGGTTTGACCATGTTGAACCTAGTAAATGTCTTTATGTAAAAACCAAATAGATTGGAAATTCTTAGATGTGTTAGCATCTATGGGCCAAAAGCCCAAGTTGCCATTTGGGTCTGTGACCTTCAGTGGGAACATAGCCAGGCTGCAAAGCTGGTGGCTTTTCATTTAATCTTGCTTATTTCAGTTGTAAAAGTAGCGTAGAAGTTAATTCACCAGCTTGAAAAGAAGCAAGGATTTTGGATTAAGTGATCATAACAATTTGCTAACAGGCCTTGTGAACAATTTTAAACTTAGTAATTGACAGTGGACAAGCTGCATAAATTGAAACATCTGCAAGTTCATTTCAAATATTAGAGGTAGAATGTTCTTCTAGAACTAGCCATTGAGAACAGTTTGAGATAATATGGGGAAGGAAGGGCCGGATTTGATCAACAACAGAAGGTATGTGTGAAGGTCTCAAGAAGTGAATGGTAGGTGAATGGTATCAAAGGTAGAATTTCAAAGTGAACCTTTACAAGGCAAAAGAGCTTGTCAATAATCAATCCAGATTACCTTTGAGAAAGTAAAAGACTTTGGGAGACCTCAGTGCAGTAAGTGATGGAGAAAAACTCCAAAGGCTGGATCCATGCTGACATTTTTGGATAGTTTGAGAGGTCATGAAGATGTACGGAACATAAAACATGAGGGAATAAGAAAACAAAAGGGCTGTTAGTGCATACTCTGCCTAATCTAGATCGGTACCTGTTGCTTATTGCAGTTGTATGGTTTTGCTTGTAACTAAAATGTAATGTTCCATTTTAATTTATGATTACACTCTATGTGCCAATTTTGTTATTTTCAGTTGATCCTGATCTAAAGACTATGACATTTCCACAATCATTCTTGGTAAGCCAACTATGAGCATTTTTCTGCTTTGTAGCCTGGTCACTTAGACCCGCTCCTTGTCTGAGAGTGACCATTGACTGCTGCATGGTCTAAATGTCCACTTCACATGGCTGCTTGTTTTTATGCTTTTAAATTTTCATTTTCTACATGTACCATATTTTTTGCTGATTGCAGTTGGCGGTCATTCTTCCAACTGTATTTTTCCTTGTCCTCAACTTGTTATACTGTCAAGTGTTGTTCGTGTGTACACCATATTGCTCTCTCTTCCTCATATTTTCACGCTCCTCTTCATTTTTCAGTAATCAGTCCACCAATCTATCACTAGTTTTAGCTTTCAACTCCAGTTTCTCTTAAGCAAATCTTTAGGTTACCTGGAGGTTACTAACTCTGCTGTTTACAAATAGGCTTCTGCATTGATTCCTGGACCCTGTGTGCTGAATGTTTGGCACTGTTGAATATATGCTCTCCCTCAGCAGAGTATTTTGTCTGCATGGCATGTCACAATAATTTCCTCCTTTTTTTTCTCCTAGGTTTGGTTTTTCATTAGGCTGAGTTGTAACATGTGTTTTTGTCTCTTCTGGATCTCCAATCTGTAGCTGATGCTTATTACTCTAGGGAGTACTGGGTTGTGGTGATGTTGCTGGAGTGTTAATCCAAATGCCTGGACAGTTGCTCTGGGGGCATGAGTTTAATTCCCACCATGGTTTAAATTCAATAAATCACATCTGGAATTAAAAATTAATCAGTTAACGGTAACTCTGAAACCATCAACAATTGTTGTTAAAATCCATCAAGTCAACTAATGCCCTTTAGGGAAGGGAATATGCCGTCCATACCTGGTATAGCCTACATGTGATTCCAGACCCACAGCATTGTGCATGTCATTTAAGCGCTCTGTTCGTTGATAATTGCTTTACTAACCCATTGACAATTAGGTAAAGGCAAGAAAAGCTGCCTCTTTTGTTTTCTGTTTTCCTTGTGATCTATGTGCCATGCATTTTCATGCCTTTTCAATCTGATGTGTAAATTGCATGAAAGAATAAGAGGGGAAAAAACAGTTCCGGAAGTTAACTTGGTAACAACACGAATAAACCATGAGACAGAAGTCAAACTTTGTTTACTTTGATATATTTCAACTACAAGTTAAACTATCAATAGCTAGTGTACTTTACCTATGCATTACTCTGTCAAAATGTAAAATCTTTTCCATAAAACAGACACGCGCTGTATGGGCAAAATCACTTGTATTGCAGCCGCCTTAGTGATCAACTGAGTCACTCTCTTGCTTTTAATTGCACCGTAGTCACTCAAACAGTTCAGGCTTAAAAATAGTTCATAAATGGGGTGAAGGAGAGGCTTGGCAAATTATTGCTTGATCACCTTTCATAGATGGTAGTTCTCCAATTTTACTCAAAGGCCTTGCAACACTCCTATTCTGCCAGATGTAGGCTTTTGTTTGCAGCTCTTGACCATCTGTTTAGAAT